GTTAGACCGTCAATTTGTTATCGTCTGCGTTGAGGATACTTTCATTTATTTATTTTGGGGGGGGGGGGGACTTGGAAATGTTCCTAACTTTCCATTTCGCAAAAAATGTTTAATATTTAAACTGTGTTTGTTATACTTTAATGTTAACGGAAGGGCCTGTGTTAAAGCAAACTAATGTAAGGTGCTCATTGTTAAGTCCCTTGGCCAAATGCAATACTGTAGCACGCGGCGCGGAGCAGCGATCGTGTTGAGTGCATCGACATCCAAGTGTGATCATGTTCATGTCAACACAACGTAAACAACAACAACAAGAACAACAACAACAACATACTGCACGTGGAAACGAATTCCATGAATGCAGTGCTGCGGGAACAGTCGGAGTTCCACGTCCCGCTCATCCGTGTCCACTACCCCCAGATCCTCTCAATTCCATCGGTCACACAGACACAGAAACACACACGGGGAGACACGGAGACACACACGGGGAGACACGGAGACACGGACACGGAGACACACACAGACATAGAGACACACACACGGAGACACACACAGACACGGGGAGACACGGAGACACACACAGACATAGAGACACACACACGGAGACACAGACACGGAGAGACACACACAGACATAGAGACACACAGACACGTAGACACACAGGGAGACACGGAGACACATACACGGGGAGACACACAGACACGGAGACAGACACGGGGAGACACGGATACACAGACACGGAGACACACACAGACATAGAGACACACACACGGAGACACACACAGACACGGGGAGAAACGGAGACACACACACAGACATAGAGACACACACACGGAGACACAGACACGGGGAGACACGGAGAGACACACACAGACATAGAGACACACAGACACGTAGACACACAGGGAGACACGGAGACACAGACACGGGGAGACACACAGACACGGAGACACAGACACGGGGAGACACACAGACACGGAGACACAGACACGGGGAGACACACAGACACGGAGACACAGACACGGGGAGACACGGAGACACACACAGACATAGAGACACACGCACGGAGACACACACAGACATGGGGAGACACGGAGACGCACACACAGACATAGAGACACACACACGGAGACACAGACACACACACAGACATAGAGACACACAGACACGTAGACACATAGGGAGACACGTAGACACACAGGGAGACACGGAGATACGGAGACACGGAGACACACACAGTGAGACACAGACACACAGAGAGACGCTGATACATACAGAGGGACGCGGAAACACACACACACACAGACATACGGAGATACACACAGAGACACGGATACACACAGAGAGATATGGAGACACACACAGAGACGCGTACGGTGCGAAAGAAGTTCAACATGCATACGTAACAAGGGGCCGTCCATATATGACGTCACGCGATTTTTGACCCCCGTCCCCCTCGTCACAAAAAGTCAGGCCCCCCCCCCCTCAAATATGACGTCACAAAGCTCTGCGCCCCCCCCCCCCCCAAAAAAATATATAAACCATGCTTCAAATCGCTTTCAACTATTGTCATTGTAGTGCGTATTTAATGTAGCGCTGCACTCTGATGTTGTAGGAGAAAACATTTATTAAAACGTCTATTTAATGAAGTAGGACCTGTTGTCTATATTTATTTAAAGTTTCACAATTTGATGTGACGTCACATTTCTCACCCCCCCCCCCCCTCGTCACAAATGTCTGACCTCTCCCCCCTCCCCAGGTGCGTGACGTCATTTATGGACGTTCAACATGCGTGTGGGTACAATCGGCATCGCCGGTAGTGGCCACGAGAGGGGGCATCTGCTGCCGTGGCAATCCAGAGACGCCGTGTCACGTGGCCTCGATCGCCCCCCCGGTCACACACGCGCACGCACGCGAGCCGAGACAGGTCCCGACCCCGTTCCGTCGAGTTGCGACCACGGGGGGAACACGCAAACTCCAAACATAGAGCAGGCGTGTTGAGGGTCAGGGTCGAGATCGAACCCACGAGCTCCTATACACCAGGCGAGGTAGTTAACATCTCATAGCCACCGTGATGATGATGAGAGAGAAACGCAAACTCCAAATATACAGCAGGCTTCAGGGTCTGGATCGAACCCACGACCTCCTGTATACCAAGCGAGGGAGTTAACATCTCCTAGCCACCGTGATGATGAGAGAGACGCCAACTCCAAATATACAGCAGCAGGCGTCAGGGTCGGGATCGAACCCACGATCTCCTGTACACCAGGCGAGGTAGTTAACATCTCCTAGCCGCCGTGATGATGATGATGAGAGAGAGATGCAAACTCCAAATATACAGCAGGCGTCAGGGTCGGGATCGAACCCACGACCTCCTGTACACCAGGCGAGGTAGTTAACATCTCGCCAACCAGAACAAACACAGCGTTTGTAGGTTTAACACGAAGGCTTTAGCGACCGATGTCATCCATAAGTTTTTTTTGGGTTCGATCGCGTAAATACGTCATTAAATCCGCCACCACCAGACACAGACAATTTGGTTTGTCACGTAAACAGAACATGCCAATGATTCACTAGTACAGCAACGCGTTGTGCTGGAGAGCAAACCCTCAACATTTACAATGTAAATCTAACGAATTGGCCACGTTCTGTTTACATGACAACCCTTACTAGTCGGCTGTGTCGGGTGGTGGCGGGTTATAACGGCACTTTTATATATTTACGCGATCTCACCCAAAACACCTCTATTATGTATAACGAGGGGGGTGAATTTGGACAGGCCACGGTTAATGTATTCCCCACTTGCGTCAGGACCCATTGCCTCAACCTCGCCACTGAAATCGCAGCCTGTTCCTCACCTGTGGCTCACCTGGAGCGTTCAGTGCAACGCGTGGATTGTTCGTGGCAGAAAAAAAAACCGAGGGTGTTTAGGCGTGCATTGGAGACTGGCTTGCTTATCTTTTTACTTCTTCAAACTTTCGTCACTCTGCAGGAATTCATTTTGACTTCAAACTTTCGTGACTGCAGGAATTCATATTCTTGGTTTTTTTCGGTAAAGTCACGTAAATAGAAAACAAAAAAATAATTCTAAATTTTAAATATTTTAAATTTCATATTTTTAATTTTATTTTTAATTGTTATTGAATATTTTTTTCTATTTACGTGACTTTACCGAAAGAACCAATACTATGCAGGGATTTATATTTTTGTTTCTTTCGGTAAAGTCACGAAAAAAAAAAAAATATTTCATGAAAAAATTAATTTAAATTTAAAATAAAAGCAAAAAAAACACGTTTCGATCGCAACACAAGCGGTCTTCATCTCCGTGACTTTACCCAAAGAACCAAGAATATATCTGCTTATTGTCACTGGTTTCGTGATCTGCCCACCGACCTCCTGACCCCGTCTCGCTTACGATAAAGCCCCTCTCGGCTTTACGTGGCAGGACACCTGAGCTCATGAGGGTCCCGCGGAGTTCCCAGCAACACAAAATATGTTTTTAATTTGACCAGGTAAGGCCCACTGAGCTATTAGTTTCCTTTTCAGAAGCAGGAGGCTGTTTCTTCCTGATCTGCTTTTTTGCTTTTACCATCTACATGGCAGGGGCTCTGTCCCATTAGCAGCAGCCGCACTTTAACAACTCTGGCACCCCCCCCCCCCCCCTCTCAGCCAGTCTACATAACAAAGGCTCAGTCCTTTGCTATGTAGACTAGCCGGAGCTTCAGCCGCACCAACCTTACCATAATAATAAAAAAACTCCTATCCAGGGGCCTGCCATGGCTCCTGCCCCCTTAACCAGTATATATACGGGGTCGGATCTCTTGGAATTTCTCATTTACTTGATACAGCAATCGTGCTGTGACGGTTCCACCTGAAGACGGAGGCTTGTTTTGCCTCCGAAACGTCGTGATTTTTATTTTATTTTTATTAAATTTTTACCTACGTGACTTTACCGAAAAAACCCAAGAATATCTTGATTCTAAACAGCGGAGGCCAAGGCGAACCAGGGGCCTGGCTTAATTTTCGCAGAAAACTGCCAATTGTCGAGTCGAGGATACAAGGTGGCTTTGTTACAAAGCTGGCCCAATGAGCCTCCTTCACCCCAGAACTGGAAAGATTTACTTGCACAGTATTAAAATACTTCCTCGCATTACTGACCAACATTGGATATAACTTGTATACAGTACTGCACTTGTAAATTCTTGACAAAGCCACATTTTGCGGACAGCTGTGTTCAGCCGAATCGCTCAAGTTAGAAACTAAAACTACAAATAAAATGTTAAACTGGTAAGCTTGTGAGAAATTACTGCATTGAAACGATGCAGGTGCCCAATGATTGTGAATGAGCTTGAATTTTATCTTGGACACAAATACTGTCAACACACGCACACATGAATCAATATCCCCATTTCCATATTTTGCTGGGGTTTTATTTACATACTAGTTTTAGATGTAATTGTGAAGGTTGTGGTGCACATAAATTAAAATTACACGGCAGAAACAAACACTTTTTGTCAAACTAACCTGCATTGAGATGGCGCTGCACTGTTGCAGTGATGAACGCAGTGCACTACGGACCCAGTGAGCAGAGTTCCATTCCCGGCCAAAGCAAGTGATATCGGAACACGTCCCGAGCACCCCACCTCAACAAGCAACATCGACCACCATGAAGGCGCCAAACAAGCTCATGACAAACATACTCTTAGGTTTTTTCGGTAAAGTCACGTAGGTAAAAAATAAGATTAAAAGTTAATAAAAGTAATAATGGAAATAAAATAAAATACTTATTATTATTGATTTATTATTTTATTTCCATTATTACTTTTATTAACTTTTAATTTTATTTTTTTACCTACGTGACTTTACCGAAAAAACCTAAGAGTATGAATCCTTGCAGTCACGAAAGCTTCAAATCTAGAATTATGACAAGCACATGGTGTGGCCTTCAACAATGAAATAACAAAGTGCCGTAAATTACAAATGATCCAAAAACTTACTTTGTAGACTTCTTTTATTTTAAAAGTGCATTTTACAATTTACAATCATTGTATATTTCCCCCCTTCCGGATGGCAATCCCCCAAAACAGGCCATAAAGATGACTCAAACCTCATGTTACCTTTTTTAGTTTTTTTTGTGTTTTATACAAATCCAACCGAATGCTGAAGTAACATTGCATTATACCAACAGCAACTCAAATCATCGATGTATCGGGAAGTTTGTGTTTCATGATATTTCGTGTTATAACCGTTACACATTTACACATGATAGAGGACTTTTTTGTTTGTTAAGCGGATGATGACACCATCTTTTGGCCACCCCATCAAAACAAGACACAAACAATGTAAAATATATATTTAATTTTTTTATTCTTTGCCCCCCCCCCTCCCTGCCCGCCCACCCCCCCAAATATATTTGTTATTGTGATCAATTACAGACTTCTGGGGTTCAATAATCAGTAATCGCATGAGGGGTGTGTGCACAGGTTTTATCTTCATCCCAAAGGTGGCTGCTCCAAGAATTACTTGTGTAATTATTATTTTCTAACCAGGCAGCTACATTTTAAAGGACTCACAATTGGTTCAGGCGACTCGCACACAGAGCCGTTTGCAAACACACACTTTGGAGAACTTCCATCCAATAAACCCTGCAACCATTGTAAAACGTGCCCCCCCCCCCGCCCCCCCATTCGAAGCACTTGCATTAAAACCCTCGCCGTTATTACATACGACCAGTTTGCTAACGAACAAATTGCATTTCCGAAACTACAATGTTATGCCTTGGGGGGGGGGGGGGGGGGTCAAACTGCAAATTATTCCAAATAAATAAAATTAGGGAAAAAAAGGTCAGTTCTGTAAATCTTTACAAATATAATCTGGAATGGAGAGAGAGAATTGTCTTCATAAGATGCAATCGTACGTATTTAACTTTGAGCACTTCTACTCGATTGTCAGCTTGAACTGCAGTTAATGATGACCGAACACGTGTGTTTAGTTATGCTCTTTATCCCGACACAATAGCAAACTGGGCGTTCTGTTCATTTTAAAAGTACAACAAAAATGAAAAAATAAACCATACATTGTATTATACACAAAATGGTTCTTCATATCTAAAATTAAAAAAAACACATTTTCTTCACAATACCTGCAGCCATCTGTGTCATCATCCGTGAGTGAAGTTTAACATTTTTATTATTTGCAATTTATTAGCAGTGTTTTGCAACTATTACGCAACACCCCCCCCCCCCCTGCCCCCGCCACACGCCTGCAACTCAAAAAATCGCAAAAAACCCCGCGAGCCCCACGCAGACACCAAGAATGTATCTTCAACATTATCAGGCTGCTGCGGACAACAGAAAGGGATCGCGATGCAATCGTAATGGACTGCGTCGGGATTTCGCATCGTCTCACAATGCCAGTCCAGCGCAAGTCCGTGGCATGATTCTCATGGCAGTCTCTGACAAAATAAAGCAAACCTCCCTCCCCCCGCCCCCCTCTCTGTGTCACGTTACCAGCAAACTCAACACTAAAAATCGTGATGAGAAAATAGGGGCACGGTTAGGCGTCGCATGCATTACACAATCCTACGTATTCATCAGTGTGCATTTGCACACTAAGATATCGTCTTGCCTGTAGTCAGGTCCAATCGAACCAAATGGATGCTGAAGTTGAATGAACGTGGGGTTGTAACGTCAGGGAAAGCTGCGAGTAACATGTCAATTCCGATTTGCAGAGTTTGTAGAGGGAAAAAACAACAACCGATTGGCTTTTTAAAGAGGCAAAACGTCGGTAAAACTTAACATGCACAAGGGCCCCCTGTTATTCGAAAAAGCATGTCAAATAACACTGGTCGAAATTAAGGATCCATTCAAACGTGTCTACATAATTATACAAATTACTGCAAATTATTGCATCACGGAATTGAGCCAGAGTCTGACAACAACAAAACAGGACACGCTGGTCTCGTGTCGTGTTTGCAACGTGTCGAGGATTGTGTGCACAGCGCGCCACACTGCAAGTCTGCCGCTTCACAACTATCTTCGGCTCGCCTTGGCCCGGACGATGTCAACTTTTATGGAGAGCCAAGGGCAGGGGGTCCCACTCAGCGCCCTTGCTTGCCTTCTGACACTGCCCGAAAAATCGACAAACCATTTGGCATGCCCCATTATACAGCCTACTAAAGGCCAACTGGCATCACCGCTCCATGATGTGGAGAATGTGAACCATCAGAGGGCAACAGGTTCTGGTGTTGCCCATCCCATACACAAAACGTTTGCAAACCACTTTCGTCATTAAGTCATCTGCCGCCACTACACGAAATTCGGGATTGAACTGGCGTTAAGCAAAAAAAAAACCCATAAAAATTTAAATCAAAGAAAAAGCCTACAACAAATAAATAAGAACCCTATTCGCAAGAGTTGAAAACTGCTCCACAATTGACACACTTTCGTTTGCCAAGTGTTCCTACGAACATTATTTTTTCCCTCACCCGCGATTGCATTTCCCGTATCCCCATCTTACCCGACCCCACTCCCAAGCTGAACCCAAAAGCCCTCTTTTCTTCCGCAAAAGTAGAGTGCAGAATATCACCCTGGACTTTTACAAACATCCCGAACCACCTCCGATGTACGCACCCAACGGGCAGCACTTGTGGGCATCTCGCCCTGCATCCGCGGCAAACTTCGCACTATTGTGAAAGGGACCAGGGGAAGCTTTTTTTTTCATGAATTAATCAATCGCTCAATTAGCATGCGCATTCCTTTCCCATAAATTTTCCTTGTCAATTTTGCATATGTGGAGGCTCGCAATTGAGGTAATGGCCGCTTTCATTCTGGAAGATGCAAGTTTTTGCCGCCCGCTTTCACTGTCGATTGAAAACATTTCACGGAGACGCGCCACAGATGACGTGGTCTTTTTTTTTCTTTTTCACAACGTGGTGGTGGTGATGTACAGCACTTGTCGCGTTTATTCTCAGCCAGCCTGCGCTGGTAAACGTGGTTAAACATTTTGCCGGGCCTGTCCGCCTCGTTAATACGTCCTCATGTGTCCATTCATTTACAAAGAATATCAAACATATATACATTTGACTTATTTAGATTATAATTTTAAACAAACACTAAAAATACAATGATAATAACAATGACGATGATGATGATAACACCATACTGCCAGAAGGCAATTACTGGAATACCAATGTGAATTCACTTCGTATGCTCCAGAATATGGGCATGAGCAGAACCGCGGTACACACACGTACGGATACCTCAACATTTCGTGCAGTCGCTGCTGTGAAACCTCTGCAAAGAGTAAATGCCGAAATGTCAGAGCGAGTAAAGAGAGTGGCGTCACCGGTGTATGCGACGCGGTCCAAGCGTGCGTTCGTGGCAACGCCGGCTTGGACAATGTTCAAGTCGAACCGCCCCAGACACAGATGCGTCACTCTCTACCCTCCGCAACAAATCAACATCGCGTTTTGGCACGAGGGGGGGGGGGGGGTAGATGTTCAGAATGCTAAGTTAGGTGGTTTAAACAGAAAAAAACGAACTCGCAGGGAATTTAGAACATTCCAAAGCTTCTGTTCCCCCATCAGCTGATTATTTTTGTACGAATTAGAGTCCGCACTCTGATCACGTGCCGATTCACCTTAAATGGGGTAATGAGACGAGGCTTAAAAATACCCACGGATGTCCCTCCGAGCGTGGGTTGGGGGGCTCCAGTGAGTGCGATGTGAAATTCTACAGCTGGCCAAACTTATTGTCTTTTAAGCAAATCCCACCGAAATGTTTTTGGTCAGAGGTTTATGCTACATTTCCATGAACGCTGGGAGCTGGGTTGTACTGGTCCAGGAATGGGCCATTTACATTCCACAAGCAGCAGCAGCAGCATCAGCACGACAGGTCCGTGTTACCCACACGTCATGAGCGACACGGCTCCGTCGGCTCAACGCATCCGGCTCCGATCACCATTAGGTTAGCCCGCTGTATGCCAAAATGTGTCTTTTTTTTTGCCTTTCACTACCTCCACATCAACACGGCCTTGTACAGTCGAATTGAGCGATGGGTCAATAGTAAAATTCACTTCACTGTCGGATGTTGAAAATAAATAATGCAACGTTCTGGCCATGTGACAATGTGAAGATTATTTGGCTGCTATAAATTGCCGCATGAGCCACTTCTAATTGGGCTATCATTTGTGGCCAAGTCGCTTCTGGAAAATAACTAATAGCTCAGTGGGCTTTACTTGGTAAAATTTAATATATTTTTTAGTTTATTTATCGCGATTGGCTTACCTTTCTTATACTTTGCACTCGTATCGTTTTATTGTATTGTTTATTGTTGTAACTTTCTGACTCGCCCTGACTGGACACCTGTGAAAAAGAGCTTCCCAGCTCATGGGATTTCCTCAAGGATAAAGCAAAGATTCCGATTGCAAAGTTTTGATGCCCAAATTAAGGTGGATCTGCAAGTGAACAATACTCCCACAGACACCTTCCTGGCAGTGAAAAGCCCACAGGTTTACGCTGTGAAATGTATTTCCATCGGCTTCCCTTGCGCACACCGCCGCCGCTCCACAACTACGCCACATGCACTACACATCCCTCTTCGTAACGCACATCGCCGCCTTTTTGCCGTAGACACAATTTGATTAATGAGCTTTTTTTAAATATATATAAAAAATAACAATTGTATACGTATATTATTATTATTTCTTTGTACGGCCAAGACTGGAAATGAGGGCTCGTGTCTGAGACAAGGGAAGACGAGACAGAAACGAGCACACAATCTGAAAAGGCCATCGGCGCCAAGTCAAAAAACACAAAAATACAAAGGAAAGAGAACAAACCCAACCGTATACAATGCGACGGCGGCCCGCACATGAAACAGCACATTTTCCACTTCCAAAAAAAGCACCAGCTGCTTAGTTTTTTTGCTTTGCCACCACATATGTATACACATACGCAGAGCTACAATTACAGGTGGATTCGTACATAATTTGACCAAAATAAATTAAGTAATCTTGCATGATGGAACTTGTGCGGGTTGAGAATATTTTACATTGATAGTGACGTTCTGGGACCACAAAGACCGCCGGCGATACAACACGCTCGCCTCTCGCAATGCATCACACGGACGTCGCTGGCCCGTTTCGCTTTAATCGTGGCATTATCCCGATAAATAATAAGACTACAGCAGGAGCTCTGTCAAATACTCACGGTGACAGCTTTTTACTCGCCAATGCCATCCATGTTGTCAACCAAATTTGCAATCGTTGATTGTTAGTAAATAGCGAATTTGTTTGTTCCAACTCCGATTGGTATATACACCCATACACAAGTTTGTTGAGACCTTAGCACAATGTGGTGGCAACCCTGCTGCAATAACAAAGGCAAAGGATGAATGATTGAGCACGATTGTTTAGAGCAGCGGTACCTTAACCTGGGGGTGCGAGATGCCCGTTCTGGGAGTGCGAGACACGGCCAGATTTTTTTCGAAGGTAAATCATCGAAAACGCAAATTAAGAATGGGCACGTAAGTACAACTACCTTGTTTAATCAAAACTATGTTTTCAGATTATACATTTTTAACGATTGGGAAACAAAGGGGTGCAAGGCCAGAGTAAAGGTGAAGCACCACTGGTTTAGATCAAAACGGACACTTCCGCGGGACAGAGCAACGGTTGAATTACACAGGAGAACCTCATTTTAAAATTGGGATAAAGGGAAATTGTTGTTCTGACATCAGACACCTTTTTAAAACGTATTTCAACTTTAACTAATAAAACACCAACGAATGTGGTTATGGAGAGCCTTTCGCGACATCTTACACAAACGGAGGAAGGTCAAAAAAATGTCAAGAGTGCAACACTGCGCACAGAGCCACGCGCAATACAACTTCATTTGTATCAGTACAGTAGTTACCTTTGCACAAATGCACTTATGCTATACAGTAATTACAGGTCAAGGCTTCAAAATAAGCCCATCATTGCATTGGTGCACCAACTTTAGTTGCAGTATCGCGTTCTCATCACACTTTGACCTGTCCTCGTATGCACAGTGGTAGAATACCAGCTGGCGAAGGGGGGGGGGATGACAGCAGTTGGCATGAGGTCCGCCTCGTCCGATTTATACCACGCACACCTGACGCACCTGCACAATCACGCACCCACCTGAGCAGTAAACATTACAGACATGTGCAAGCGATCTTGCTGCAATCAGCACTTCGGAGAGGGGGGGGGGCGTTGGCGGATCACGCACAGATCACCACGAGTCTGCACGACTCCCAATCCTCCTGGGCTGCGAGGTAGCCAGGAGATTGCAGTACAGAAAGTAGGTTGCCGACATGCCTGTGCAGGCCTTTGAGTATTATTCGTTTGCAAGTCTGAGCGTTCTTCCGGCACTCCGATTTCCCCTAGAAAGCAACGCTTACATAAGCAACTGGCCGGATATCCTCATGCACGACCCTCCAAAAAAAAAAGGCTTGGTGAACTTTTCCCGTGTAAATAGGACACTGTTATTGCAAGGGGATGTTAAATCCAGATTTCTAACAATGATGCTCTATTGCACGTTAATTTAATTACTAAATCAACCAAAACCACTCTCCTAACCATGTGTTGTTAATGTTTATTTTAAAAGGAAGTTCGTATCGGGACGCAGCAGTGGAAGGACTTGCCGAAAGCCAATGCCAGTTTAAAGATTACATCAATATCAAGGTTTCGTGCTGTAAATTATTCCCATCAAAGAAAGCCTTGCGCCGATTGCATTGGCAGAGAAAGCACAAAACGAAACGCTAACCAAGAGCTGGATGCAAAAATGTAATAAAAAGGGGCCAACAATTAAGACAATAAACGCCATGAAGAAGACACTTGAACGGTCAGAGACACTCACCGTCACACAATCCGAGTTGGTAAATCTGACTTCCGGCCAAAAGAGCTTTCTATTTTTACACTTTTTTTTTCTTTGTTTCATTTTTAAATCTTTTTGTATATACAGAGACGCAAACAGAGTCAAGTACCTGGGAAGGTCTCGGAGTAAGTGGGCACCACCCCCCCCACCACCCCACGTCGCCCCCCCCTCCCAGAAAACAAATTAACCCATCGTGGTGTTGCTGCTGCTGCTGCTGGAGATGAGCGGGGTTATAAAAGTTATCCGAGTCGAAGTGGACGCTTGCTTGTGCCGCCTGTGCGCGGCTCGGCGTTGGATCCGGACGGACGGTGGCGGCGGAGGAAGGAAACCGCAGCAAGCGCGATCGTCGTCGGTGCCAAAGAGCACGTGCGTGGACACAGCGGGTTTTTGTTGATGTTGTTAGGCATCTTGTCATCTCGAGAGTGTCAACGGCTGATGATAGCCGCAATCTCCCCCCCCCCCTCCCCCAGGCCCCGACTCCCCAAATCCTCATTCCCTCGACTGGTAAAAGAGGATGTATCCCGATTCTGAGTTTTTCGACACGTCCGTTGTGAGCCCATAAAACTCTTCGATGGCCTGCGGGTCGATTTTCTGCAGGTGTGCGTCCCACGCCGCGTGCGGGATAAGGAAGCACACAAACAGACAAGCAAAATTAGTTTAAACGGAGTGTTGACATTATCATACAAGTTCGGATTTGCAGTCTCAAGAGCGCCCCCCTCTGCGTGCGATCAAAGACGCCACACTGTTATTGTTGCGGGAGCCAAAGGTCCAGTTATTGTGTGTTAAGCACGGCCGAAATGTCCCCCTGTCCATCCTTCCGACGACACACATCGCGAGTTTGCACAATAAGCTATAAATCATCTCGGGTAATTGCTAGGGGACTCGACAAACAGCTTGCCCACAACCAATGCCCACAGCTGTACTCTTCTAATTGTTGGAAAAATTTGGAGAAAAAAAGATACCATTTAAAATCTGCCGTTTTATTTTTAAACTACAATTTTTCGCATGCCGTCATATGGCCGTAGTTTTCGACCAGCGTGCACATCCATTTTCACACGCGTGCTTTATTCTACCGTATATTTATTTGCACCGTCGAATCCCCTAAGACTACGGAGGTTCCTTCAATAGGCAAGATTGTAAATAATTAAATCGGTATTCATTATTTTTACCAAGCCGAGAGATGTTGTGGTTAGTGTGCTTGACTCGCAAATCTGGGGGTCAATTTTTGTTTGGGGGGGGCCAACTCAATCCATTAACCCTGTGGGGGTCAATAAAATGAACACTGCTTTGTGGGAAATCAACAATTGTTGTCCTAATGAAGGGGTGGGTAGAACATTTGTCTTACCGAGGGCCGGGCAGGGCTTGCAAATGGTTTTGGTGGGCATACGCATTAACCGCACACCTGAGCATTGCCCAACGTAAAATCATTAGGGCTCTCACCTTTGCCGCACTAATGCGCTGTGCAAGCATCCGCATTTGCGTGAATTGGAAAGCCATCGGGAGCGGCAAAAGTGCCCGAGCGAACTAAAATAGCAACGGTGAAAACAATACCCTCTGTAGTCGTAACCAATTAGTCCGGCTAAGATGCTTGTAGCGATGGATAAATATTGTCTTCGGGCTGTTTTGGTAGCAGGCCACATGCCGTGCCATAGGCTCTCCACCCCTTTGGCCCACGGAGAGAATAGCCCCCACCAACAGGAATGTGGAATTTGCACCAACGGCTCACGGCTGCCAATGGCGACGAGCACTGCCACCGTTAAAGAGCGCATTGATGTGGGGGGGGGGGGGAAACTGCCGACCGATTTTTATTCTTTATGTCTCCAGGTGAGAGCTCATTAAAACACGTCCCTTTGAAATGGAAACCTAGGATACGTACAGATGAAATACAACAGGAAGGAAGAAAATAAAACTGTTCAGTGTGCGAGGAAGAGAAGGTCCGTGCCAATGATATGCGTGAGGCTTGGCAGAGCCGCTGCCAATGAAAAGGACATTCCATCCGATGCGTGCAACCAAAATTATTGCAAGGTTTGTATTGAAAACCAAAAAAATGAGATGGTAAATGGAGATATTTTATAACTGAAAATGTGTTGTGTTGGAGAATTAAAAAAACGCAAAGAAAAGTGAGAAAATAATATATTTCATGTTGTTGTTAATAATGGTTGAATAAAAATAAGTATTGTAAAAATCAAGTAAACATTACCATTGTAAAATAATCGTCATCACTAATGGAACAAAAGGACTTACCTCTACTATATCATCGTCAAACAGCAACCAGAAGCCATGGCTCTTCACTATTGTGATGTAATGGCCCCGGTTGGGGCCGCTACAAATACAACATCCAAAGAGATAAAATATGCAATTACATTTGCGTTTTCTTCCTCACGAGTAAATAACAAGCCGACACAATGAGCGAAATACGTGCACCCTTTTGAAGCAATGCGTTTCCTTTGCACCGATCTATCCAGCAGTTAATACCTGAAGCATATCCCCTATTTGGCCATACATTCTTGGGGCAGAAAAAGTTGTCAGGACCAAATAAGGCTGACAAGGCACACTGGTGCTGGGGCCAGCTCCACCACACTGGGTATATCTGTGTCCCCCCAATTGTAGATCTTCACAGTCTGAATACGCTACTCAAAGGCGGCTAAGTTGACGTAGGCCACGGTATAAGCAAGAATTTAATTCCAATTGTCACCGACCGCTGTGCATGGCCACCAATCATAAACAAGTATCCAGGAATGTAAAGTGGCACAGTAACTACGACGCCACTTGCGCTCAAATACAGCGTTCCCGAGTTATTCGCTAGGGGTACGTTGCAGAGATGCTCGTGAATATAAAATTTCGTGGATGATATTGGCCTAAGAAGTGACTTTACCTTCATCACTAACTCTCATCACTTTATTTCTCCTCTCTCTGCAGTCCTGCGGAGTTCTGGATGCGATTCGTGGATAGCCAAAATCGCGGATAGCAAGTTCGTGGATAACGAAGGAAATTGTATACATTTAGATGGAACCGATTGAGACATTGACAAAGTTGTCTGAAAACATTGCTTTGAATATTTGGCCCATTGTGGCAAAAAATATTTGCACATTTTTACCAACAATCAGATTTAATTAATGTTCAACAACCCGTGACAACACACAAGTGAAACATTACTGCACAACCTGCAAATATTCAAATTATGGAATTTAAAACAGCCATTATTATAGCATTAGCCCTTCCAAGTGATCCACCTATTTCGTACAGAACCAGTTGAATAATAAGGTTACTTCAATTCACGAGCTGGAGCACCCAGAGATAGCCAATGCATATGAGGGTGGTAATGCTCAAAAGCACTTGAAGAATCCACTGCCGAGATCTCCTGGCCACATCGCAGCCATAGCCCACGATACCTGGGAGTCTCCCAACTAATCAGGCTCCACCCCATCGCTTGAGGTGCAGGGCCCAAGCTTTAGAAATCTGACTAGGTCAGGCACTTTCAGGGTATTACGACAGATAAATGCAGGCATCGCATCGCGTGTCATTCAATGACATTTTCTCATCCTTCCCCCGCACCTCCGATTAGCACGGTTGGCTTTGTACGGTGCGAAAGAAGTTCAACTACTATACAATCACCATTGGAACCTCATTTGCCAGTAAAAAATATGATAATTGGTTTTTTTTTGTGCGCATTTTGGCATCATCTGGTCCAACCCATGTGAGACTAGGCTCTAAGGAGAGCTGTCTCGGGTGTGGACCAATCAACTTCAAGGACAGTGCACATTATCAGAGTTGTGTTTTTTGTTTGCATTATGACTGCAGGTATTGTGGTCTATGCAAACATGACTCCTTGTAAAAAAGGTGTCAGTTTTGTTGCCAGATAGAAGGGTAAAAAACCAATTACCATACATTATTTCATTGCCAACTGCGCCTTCTAGATCAATATATTCCAGAAGCGTTTGCTTAAACAAGACAACCAATGCACTGGTTTTAACTTCACCGGGTCTCATCAGCAGGATGTCCCCCCATTGTTACGTGGGTTCGGGCCGGTGCGGCCACTAATCAACACTCCGCGCTTTTGTGTGCGGCGCCGCCTGGCCACAGCTCTCACCTGCCACAGTGGACGACCACCGCTACCAGGTCGTACATGCGGTCGGGGTTGGTGGCATCGCCGGACGTGTTGAATAGCCTCAGCTCGAGCGGAAACACCACGCGGTACGAGAGCTTCGTGTACCGGTGCAGCTGCTCCATGTACTTGAAGCGCTTGAGGTGCAGGGCCAAGATCATGGGCAGCTTCTTTACTCGCATCCTGCCGTCGCAAACGCCATGGCGAAAGTCAACGCAACATTCCAGTGTCTTCAACGTTCTCCGTGCACTCTCCTCTGCCTAACTCTCCCCACTGATCTCACTGCAGTCCCCTCCCCAACCTCTTCTACCCCTCTCATATATCGCTGGACTCCCCGTTACGCGCTCTGCGTTCCAGCAACTGAAGCTTTCTAAGTCCCCAGTCATCCATTGTTCATTGGTCCCCCATTGTAATAGGTTTTTACCCTTTCAACTGGTACAAAAACTGACACCTTTATACAAGGCATCATGTTTGCAATAACCACAACACAAGCAGTCAAAATGCAAACAAAAAGAAACAACTCTGATGATGATGATGATATGCACTGTCCTTGAAGTTGATTGGTCCACACCCGAGACGCCAAAAGGCGTCATCTGGTCCAACAACAATGGAGACTAGGCTCTAAGAAAAGCTGTCTCGGGTGTGGACCAATCAACTTCAAGGACAGTGCATATCATTATCATCATCAGAGTTGTTTCTTTTTGTTTGCATTTTGACTGCTTGTGTTGTGGTTATTGCAAACATGATGCCTTGTATAAAGGTGTCAGTTTTTGTACCAGTTGAAAGGGTAAAAACCTATTACTATATTTTGCCACTGGTAAAGGAGGTCTCATAGTGGTCCCCCATTCTTTACTGTAGTCCCATAATCGAGAACTCCCTTCCCCAGTCATCAATGCTGTCAACTCCCTGCCCCAATTCAAGTCCAGGCTCAGCTCAAGACCTATGGCTGACCGCCTCTCTCTATAAAATATACATGCACACTGTTTCTGTTCAGCATCTTGACGTTATAAAATACAAATTCGATCGTACAACTGTATTGTATGACCAAGTGAACGGCACCCATCTCCCTCTGCCAACCCCGATCCAGGGGTGAGAAGTCAACATTACAGTGGCTGGGGCTTGGCCTACACACAAGACAATTGCTGGGGAAGATTACAGATTAGATATCCCATCTGGTGCAGCCTCGCCAGGTGGTACTCACTTCAGAGACTATGGGATGGGTGATGATGATAACGAGTACGAGTCAACCCTGGTCAGGATTTGAACTCATGGTCTTGGGATTAAGATTTCTGCTTCTCGACCAAATGAGATACAGCCCAGATACGATGCTACAGCACACAAAAGGCTGCAGGACTTGATGCTTGGGGTTACCTATGGCAACCGTTAGCTCGTATGAAAGGTGAACGAACAATGGCAAAATGCATCACAACAGAGGACATTGCAAGTCATGATGGTCAAAGTGTCACCAATTTAATAATATTATGAGGCAATATTCACCTCCTGGCAACACCGAGCCATTGGTGGTAATTCCACATTGCCTTGGAGGGTGCCAGTCAATGAACTGGAAACCAGGACTAAATAAAAAAAAATAGTTCTACGCAACACAATATAGTTACCCGTGTATTCTCTGATGCAGTAGGGTCCCCCACTATTAGGGATGGTTCAGACACATGGTTTTGAAGGTATAATTTGCTGATTTTGTTGTTTTAAGCAGTCGAAGTGTTTGATTACAAAATGTGCCCATTGTATATTATGAGGGATGCAAAAAAATGTTGGACCAGGAAACAAGTGTGTGAAATCAATCAAGAATCATGAGCAATTCGTGATCAATTCAATGAGGCAAACGGAAAAGACTCTTGCGAAGCCATCAGCAGTTGCCTGAATACAAATCCTTAAAACGACCTTATGCATTCACTCTTGTTACAGGGAGGATTCTGCGAGAATTATTTCGCGAGCTGCAAGAAAAGCCTTCGTCCATGAACGTTCATTATTCATGATCAAATTACATTTTATTCATACGAGGATGAAGCCCCTGGCTGATGGAATGTGCTGTAACATAGTTCATGCAAAGCCAACCTCTGTAACCCGTTAAACAAAACTGATATTTAGTATTCTGGAGTTTCACAACATTAATAAAAAACCACATTTTCTTGCTGTTGTGTTCTTTTTACACACAACACACTTGTTTACAGGGATAATAATAATAATGTAAACTTTCTAATCCAGAATATACAGAGCCTCTTCAGGAGGGTCTTGCATCGATAATTTTGGATTGGCCACTTCCTGTTGAGTGTTCATGAATGTGGGAGGAAAGAAGAGCACCCGGAAAACCCCCCCACACGTACCAGGGCATAGCACTCAGAGGTCAACAGATATAGGGGCGATACTAATCTCCTGGGCCACCTCAGATCCTTGCGAGTTTGGGTGGGGGAGGGGTCTCACAAAGCCACGTGATCCCACAAACCCTCGCCTGCTTCGCATTCAACTACAGGCATGTGGCACCATGACTCGCCTAAGCCTGCATGCCACGATTACACTCGTGTGTTTAGTTTGTTGTCCTGCCCCCCGCACCTCCGATTAGCACGTAAGAAGTTCAACATCATGCGTACAACAACGTAACGCGTTAACAATTAACATTAAATCAAGCAAGTACTCCACCCAAGGGTCAAGCAGAACGGACGAGGAAGGAACGTCGGCCGCCGATTAAACAGTGACCACACGCAAACCAGGCCCGTTCAAACACTGACCACACTGCAAACCAGGCCCGTTCAAACACTGACCACACGCAAACCAGGCCCGTTCAAACACTGACCACACGCAAACCAGGCCCGTTCAAACACTGACCACACGCAAACCAGGCCCGTTCAAACACTGACCACACGCAAACCAGGCCCGTTCAAACACTGACCACATGCAAACCAGGCCCGTTCAAACACTGACCACACGCAAACCAGGCCCGTTCAAACACTGACCACACGCAAACCAGGCCCGTTCAAACACTGACCACACGCAAACCAGGCCCGTTCAAACACTGACCACACGCAAACCAGGCCCGTTCAAACACTGACCACATGCAAACCAGGCCCATTCAAACACTGACCGGCGAACCGTTTCATTTCAACTGCACAACCGCTTGTGGGCGAAGGCAAAGCAGGCGAAACGCAACACCCGACAAGGTCCAAGCGCGAGGAGGGGCGTGTGGGTGTCAGGTTGGGGCGTCTCACCTTTTCTGCGCTTCTTGCTTACTGCAGCATTGTTCGCAGTAGTATTTATATTCGCTGCAGAGTGTCTCGGTGTTACTGAAGCCTCTGGGGTGGGGTGGAAATAATAAATAAACAATCTGTCAGTGAAAGTGGTCCGTCGTGCACTTTGAATAAACAGGGAATGCATTTCCCCGATCAAAGAGAGTACTGTACAGGAAAAAACAAATAACCCGTCAAATCTGCTTGTCCAGAAAGGAGCATTTTGTTGAGATTAGGCAGACTGAGTGGATTAAAAAGGTGAATTATTAAGTAGTTCATTGTGAGGAAAATGGTAGATAGATTATACTAAAATAAAGTGGATTATAAAATGTACCAATGATGCTGGCATGGATTATTTCAATTATATTTGTGGGTCATCAAGTTTGTTTATATCAAAGCGCCTTAATTTTCTATGAAAGGAATGTTTGCTTTACTATGACAATAGCAACACAACCACACCATCACTACCACCACCACCATCATCGTAACCCTCCCCATCCTCACCACCACAAACCAGTACTCTCGTCATGCTCAAACTCTCCGTCATCACCACCATGATCAAATTACACTTCTGACAAAACTGAAGCGTCACAATAGGAACCATCTTAGATGGGGAAGACCCGGGTCTGTTCTCACAGAAGGTCATAATGACTTTGCAGTTTGTTGGCATCACCATAAGGATGCAATGGAAAAAGTTTCCTGGCTTAAGATGGCCAAGATCAGTGAAAACATCTGTCTCATCAGCAATAACTTTAACTTATTAATATTGTTGGGATACAAAAACGAGCAATCGTGTGAAATATATATATAGGCCAGTCAGCACCATGGGAAATTCCCAAAATACTTTTGCTAGCTCAACATGGAGTGTGTATTCATTTGCAGTGTCAGACCAATCCCACCAGTTTCGATTTAAAGCTTTCGTGACTGCAGGGATTCATCTTCTTGGTTCTTTCGGTAAAGTCACGTAGAAGGGAAGTAATAAAATAATAAAAATAAAACATAAAATAATTCTCACGACGTTTCGGCCAAAACGCAAGCAGCGTCATTCAGACGCTGTCGCCTCGATAGACCTGGTTTTCACATGAGGACGGCTGCTTGCGTTGTGGCAGAAACGTCGTGAGAATTATTTTATTATGTTTTATTTTTATTATTTTATTACTTCCCTTCTACGTGACTTTACCGAAAGAACCAAGAAGATGAATCCCTGCAGTCACGAAAGCTTTAAATCGAAACTGGTGGGATTGGTCTGACACTGCAAATGAATACACACTCCATGTTGAGCTAGCAAAAGTATTTTGGGAATTTCCCATGGTGCTGACTGGCCTATATATATATCACCACCCACCACCACCATCACCTCCAGCAGCAACCTCCACCGTCAACAGCGTGAGTGTGTAAAGCGAGGCGCAATGAATTCTACGTGACTTTACCGAAAGAACCAAGAAGAAGAACAATCCCACCAGCTTAAAGTCTTCATATCCCAGAGATTTTAAATGGAGAGGTGGTAAAGCGAAGTGGGCAATTTACCTTAGACAGTGTGTGATGGATGTGTTTTGTTCAACATCTACTGACAGATCCAGGAAGTCTTCATCTTTACTGCTCACCTGTAAAGCAAACACAGGTGGCCTAGACATCTAAAAATCACTCGCGTTCCCGCAATGCAGCACTTAAAAGGATGGCTCAATCCAATAACCAATCGGGCGCAACGTTTTCAGAGTTGTAAAAACAATATCATTCCATGCTAAACGCAGTATGTTAACCAGCTAATGAGCTAGGAAACTCCAGTTTCATTTCGAAAATTTAGATTTTCTGGAAACAGGTCAGTGCGCCACCATTATTACACTTACAATTAGTATTTTCATAGTGTCTAAACATGCCTGCATTCCAAGACGCTGTACAGAAACAGTGAACATAGTTTTTAGAGGAACAGACAGCCCAGTCATAAGCAGAGGAAATACATTAAATATTACGAGCTATTTACAATTCATGCAAATTAAAAAGAAACCATACGGTAATGTTAATAACAAAAAATCTCAAACCATAATTACATTTTTTTTACAATTTATCAAATTAACAAGTGTGTAAATTGTTCCATGCCTACTGTGCATTCACTAGCGAACGCCTCTGTATTCCACGCAGCTCCTTCCCGCAACGTGAACCTTTCCCAGCCTCCAGCGCGAGCGAGCGCGCAACGCGCACACCCCTGCACACTCACGCACCGTCTCGCAGTTGAGGCAGCGTGTCTCGTTGGTGAGCGTGCCCTGGAAGATGTCGTGCACCCACGTGGGCTCCGTCTTGGTGCTGTCGTCACCGTCGGCGGCTGTGGTGGCGGCGGCGGCGACGCCGTTCTTGAGCTTGCCGTTCTGCCGCTCCTGCTTCTTCTCCTCCTGCAGGATGTCGGCGATGGTGTTGAGAAGGTAGTTGAGGAACTCGTGAGCATCCTGTTGCATGTAGTTGTCGAAGAGTTCTGTTTGCAGCCCCGGGATGGGAGAACGATTGCGAGAAGACGCACATGCACACGATTAACGGGGCTAAGAAGCAGAGAGTTGGCACTGCTGAGATACTGGAGGTTCGAATCTAGGGTTGAGCCACCTGTTATTCAAACTGCGGTCCTCCGATTAGCACGTTTGGCTACGTACGGTGCGCAAGAAGCTCAACACATGTACATGCGTTCCTGTCTCTTGAGTTTAATTTAGAATTCGTTGCATTATAGGTACTCCTTGACATGCACGATAGATGCGTTCCTGGAAAAGTGTGCATATCTCAAATCACGTATGTCAAAAGCAATTTTCCCGTAAAAAATAATGGTAAAGGAGGGGGTTAGGGGATTTCACTTGCACTCGCAGACAAAATTGACTATATTATCCTAGCCTATATCAATAAAATACATGTACACACACTATAATATGAGACACACGAGACAAAGGGCAGAGTGCTGGAGTACACGCAACGAAATGCTGTACGTTACAGCTGACACTAGTTATCGTACCGCACTGGCTGCTGGCAACGCCATTGGGTTGCGGTGCCGGGCTAGCGTGGCGTATGTCGCGTTGCGGATGACGTTGTTCCGAAAACTTCCTTGCGTATGTCAATAAAAGGTCGAAAAACAAAGCGTGCGTTGTTCCAAAATTGTTTACCGCAAAAGGGCATAAACTGAAGATTGCCTGGAAAAGGAGTTTATGGTTTCAGCCCCGGTTACCAATGATTGTATGGAAAACTCACCACATCAAATGTGGTTATAGACTTAATAGGGCTCTGAGATTTAAAACATCGTTTTTACACGCTTTACATTAACTCACTCTGTCCGTTGTTGTTGTTGTATCCTTAAATCTTGTAACTCAATTTTAACCCACTTCCCAATGTGGTATCGATTGCAAACTTGGTATACTTACATCTTACTGATGACAATTCTATCATAACAAATAAAAACATTTTAAACAATCTTTTTGATATGTTATGTTTGGGCTCAACTGACGTTGGCTGTAAATCACCACAGTCTCTTACGTTATGGCAAGCCTCGAGGCCAATTCCTGGAGTTGTGGAGTTGTTCCATTACTAGTAGGGAACATTTCATTAAAGCGTGTTTAAAAAAAAGTTTTTTTTTTAAATATTACTTATTATTTAAATATAACTCTCCCATTCATGGTTCACCGATGAGCCTTTACGAGGACAAGACTAATCTATATGAATCATGTTATGTATTGTCGAATGCTATTCTTGGAGTCCTCTTGGTCGAAATATTGTGCAGTATCTGTCCGCTAATCACCTGGTCAGACCTTAGATACTAAGCAGCATAGAGCCTGGATCGTGAAAGCCTGTGGGGCTTCGTGGTGGTCAGCAGATGGTAGCGCAGCAACACTCGTTGTTATACTGTACTGCTATGTTCCCGTGTCGGTTACCTTTCTTCATATCCTACACGAACCAGCATGGTAAATTATGGCCAAATAACATGCACGCGTGCGAAAGGTCATTATCCAACAGTGGATTGTACATGTACATTTATCAACTGGTACAGGGTACGATTTTATTGGTGTATAGAATAAACTGAAAGAGTACTCGCATATTCTTGGTTCTTTCGTTAAAGTCAAGGGAAATTCTAAAATAAAAAAAAAATTCTAATTTTTTTGCTATGGATTTCACACCTGATGATGATTGCTTGCGTTGCAGTCGAAACGTCGTGAGAATTGTATTGTTTTATATTTTTATTATTTTATTATTTCCCTTCTACGTGACTTTACCGAAAGAACCAAGAATATGAATCCCTGCAGTCACGAAAGCTTTAAATCAGCACTAGCATAGTAAAATCTGCCACAGACAAAACTACCAACTGTAGCAGCAAAACATGCGGATGGACGGTCCTTCCGTGAAAAGAAAAAAAATGCAATCGAAAGATGATTCACTGATAATTGTGCTTGCCGGAGTGATGTCATGAACTCAAGAAATGTCCATCTGCATCACAAAGATCCGAGCAGTGCATCACAATGTGTCAGAACGGCCTCCGGAAGGCGATGTCACAAAAAACTTCGGGTGTCACTCCAACAGGCCTCTCGCGTACGTAAACACGGGGCTTATCCTCATTCTATATCCTGCAATGAGGGTCCTCGTGGTCATCAAACCAAGAATAGTTTCATCATCATAGCCGGAAGATTTCAAGCTCGGTGAAAACTGAATTTAACACAAACGTTTATTTGTATAGTCACTGGCGACTGAACCGAAACCTCCGACCGGCTCCACATGAGAACCTGGTCTATACATGGGCGTCTGATATCCACATCTGAACAGAGGATCTCAGCACTTGCGGCTCCGTACTCCAACATGGGCACTATTCCCCCTTCAAGCCAATCCAGTCACATCCGATTAACATATGTTCATCCTCGGTGGTATCCTGCAGAGATGTTGCTCTTGACATAATCTCGGGCATTACGAATAAGGATTTGCAGTGATGTGGAGCTTAAATGCCCAAGCATCTTAAGGACCTTACAACACAATCCGTACAAAATGGAGTACGGAGGGCAGAAAAGGAAAACGAATGAGAAGAATGAGCAGTGAATGTAAAACAGCAGCAGTGGAATAAGAATGATGACACGCAGATCTTGTGTGCCTGCGTGCGTATGTGCATGTCTCACGTTTGTACAGAAAAGGGTTCTTAAATTCAATCAGCGGTCTCCACGAATGTTAAGAATCGAAAGTGCCTCAGTCTGGAACTATGGGAATTGGACATTAACACCAAACCCTACACTATTGGATCAATTGAGATGTGTGTGTGTATATGTGCAGGGACGGGGAGTGGTAGGGTCACGGTAAGCATGCTGCGCTACATATCCAGCAACCCGACTTCCATTCCCACACAGCCAACACCGGTGACGATTATTTGAACCGGTCCTGGGCCTCCCCGAGGTCGACTCGGCCTCAAAGGAGTACCTGGTGCGGTGTGTAAATACATCTCCACTGGGGAGACAAAGGTGGTCAGGTGAGGTTCTGGCCACACACCCCTTCAGACAGTGCTAGCCTTCATAGGTGCTCGCTAACAGCACTTGCCCCAACAGTCTATTGAGGCTATATGGGAATATTGGTCTTTGGTGATTGCTCAAGCCATATACTCTGATTCTGATACTCATTTATTAGAACCTGGTTTAATAACCGATGGTTGAAACCTCGATTGGAACGCAGAATCTCAGCGGTGTCGACTCAAGTGTTCAGACAGCCGTCGAATCGGCCTTCCGAGTCACCAAAGCCTCCTTGCAAATCAACCGTTGACACAGAATATCTCAAAACACGTGTTCAAGAGCGAAGCAGCAACAGGTCTGGGACTCCTTTAATTTACGGGCCTGGCCTTGTGGCTCTCCAAGGTGCCGCCGCGAGAGGTAGCCGTCAATGAGATATATTGATCAGGGCTCTGTCAACAGGCACGCGGTGAAGGGAAATTGGTCTCGGGCTCGTTCATTAGATTGCCCTGCCCATACACAACCGTGTCAAGCAAGCCGTGATGAAACCAACGCAGCACCACTTGCCGTTTACTTTGCAACAGATCGCAAGTCTCCTTTGCCAGAAACAAGGCCCCTCAATGGGTTCTTGTCCATTCACCACGATTTCCAATCGTTAATATTTCTCACGACTTACCCCATTTTATATTTAAACAAAGCCTTAGCTCAGGACGGTTTACGTAGTTTAAAAAGCGGTGCCAAACACATCGAGTGATTTACATGGCTGGGGCGGGCAAGGACCGAGGGTTCACGAAAGGGCAGGGGAGGGACGGGAAGGGAAAGGAATGAGCTTGGTTATTTTATTATTATTATCCAATTTAACAGTAAAAAAATCAACAATAGACAAATAACCAATAGGTCTCTTGGACAAATAATTTCTAGCGGCATGTTTATGACGGAACACTCTGGACTCATATAAACTTAATCAGAAGAGTGTGGCAATCACCTTGCAATACAGGCAAGAGCCCTTTCCAAAGAGGGACACGTTCAGAACAGCATGGGAATACTTTACTATTTATACAATGCAATGTGGATTTACATCTCCTCTAAATGCGACCGCATCTAAAAGAAGGCACCGAAAAACACTGGGCATTCAAATAAAGCCATCAACAAAATAATACGATTAATAAATTGCGTTACTTTAAAGGCACCAAAACACAGGCTTCCCAAAAGTGTTCGAGTTACAGCAGGCCAATTCACATCGTGCTCGACTGAGGCACTTTCGATTCTTAACATTCGTGGATTATTTCGCAAGGCAACCCACGCCGCAAACGCACCGTTCTCCTTGCGTAGGCGGGAAATGAATTTCTTTGGCGGGATGACGCCCACTTTCTTCTTCTGCGTCGCGATGCTGTGAAAGAGGTCGGCGAGGCACGTCAGGAGGTTCTCCTTCTTCTTGGGCTGGACCTTGTAGTCGAGCACCTTCTCCCGGAACGGCTTGCAGAAGTATAACGCCTGCAGGACCGAGTTGCAGTAGCAGGTGTTGCCGAACTGCGGAGAGACGACGGGGGGGGGGGGGGGGGTGAGACGAAGGGAACAAGGGCGAGCGCAAGCTCCTCTTAGCCCAGAGAGCTACCAAGCCAGTGGCCCACCTACGACAAAGTCACCCAGAATGCACCCCATCTCGTCAAGATCTCAGAAGCCAAAGTAGGAAATGAGTCACGGAGAGTGCTTGGATGCACGAGCACCGCGCTCAAACAAAAGGCTTTGCGAAAGCCGAGCCGGGGTTGAGACAGGATAATGGATTGTGGTTTCGTATGGGTCCAAATTATTATTATTTTGGTGCTATAAATGCCCAAATGATGGGCCACTCTGTTGAGCTATTATTTGTAGCCAGGTCGCTGCTGAAAAATAAGTTAATACCTCAGTTGGCTTTGCCTGATATGATGGGGATGGTATAGTTTTATTTGGATGTGTTTGGGTGATTTGGTTTACCTCTTTGTACTTTGCACTACTAATGTGCTTTTGTATTGTTTGTTGTTGCAACATTCTTACCCGCCCCCACTGGAGATCTGTGAAAAAGACCTTTATAGCGCATCGGATTCCTCCGGTATGAATAAACATTTTGATTCTGAAATAACCACAGTGACCCTTACGTTGTGGGGGAGGCCCTCGTTCAGCAGTGAAAAGCTGTGTGTACCAACAACCAGGTGGTCTAGTTGGTGGACACTTTATAATCATAGCTGTGGATCACGCAGACATCATTGCATGCGAGGAACCCATCAGTGCACCTCCGATTTGCACGGTTGACTAAGTAAAGTGCGAAAGAAGTTCAACATAACATACATACATAAAGTGCGGGTGAACAGCAAGTTTGTCGACCTATCCAGTGCAGACATTGTTTGTTTAATATTTCCAAATGCACTCAAACTCCGGACATGGTGGGTTTTTTTCTATTCTTAGGTTTTTTCGGTAAAGTCACGTAGGTAAAAAATTAAAATTAATAAAAGTAAAATAAAATAAAAATCACGACGTTTCGGAGGCAACACAAGCTTCCGTCTTCAGGTGGAACCGTCACAGCCACGACAGCTGAAGACGAAAGCTTGTGTTGCCTCCGAAACGTCGTGATTTTTATTTTATTTTACTTTTATTAATTTGAATTTTTTTACCTACGTGACTTTACCGAAAAAACCTAAGAATATGAATCCTTGCAGTCATGAAAGCTTCAAATCTAGAATGGTGGGTTTTCCCACCGTGGACTTGACCATTCGCGCCAAATTCATTAAGGTAGATTTCGTCAATGACACCCCTCTGGCTCGACCATTTGCGGTTAACCACGAGATGGCTGTCTGCATCGTAAAGAAGTAGTGGTGTACTCTTACTGCACTGCTTGCGATGATGCTGCTGCGGAAGAATACACACCGCCATCATGATCCTTCATCGTAAATAAAAGTATTTGTTGTTTGTTACTTTTTAAACTGCATAATACTAACTGTACATACGTCGTTAACGTAGTACAGCACTGCACACAAAATTTATTTTTTCATTCTATAAATGTACTGTTCAAGTTTATACAAGTGTAGAGGAGTAAAATGGGGACGTGACGTCAGGTGTGTCGTTCAGTGCGATGACGTCACGTCTCCTAGGGTACTTAAGGGATACCCCGTGGGAACGGGTAGAGTAAGCAGGGTGAAGAAGAAACCAGGGGTAGAGAGAGGGATCGAGTGGTGAGTCTGGGGAGAAGTCGGTGGTAGCCGTAGAGGTGCTTCTCTCTCCGGTCGGTGGAGTCGGCAGAATCCACGATCCGACACGAGAGAGAGACCGGAGCTAGTCGGCAGGGACCCGGACTCAGAGTAGGACCCCCCTAGCCCCTGGGAGTTGTGTACCCTGCTGTGTAATATTGTTAAGCTTTAATAAACCCTGGCGGAAGCGCTTAACTTACCTCCGTCTACGAGTACGTCCGTCGGAACTTCTCTACATATGTAATAATATAGAAAATATTAATCAAACTTCACATTAAAAAATATACACCTTGTTTTATGCTTGGGTTAATGTAGGGTATTATGAAAAGCGAACCAAACGATATTTTTTCCATATGCCTTGAGTTTGCGGATGGCATTTTTTTGCAGATTTGCAAATTGCAGCTATTCTTAAGAGCGTAACCCCACCGATGGTCCATGTTTTGATGTATATGTACATTACAATGTTCATACCGCATCCCCAGCGCTCTAGGCCTCCCACTTCCAGCCGGCGCCACTTCCCCCCGGCCCCACGTCCTCTCTCCCCCTAGCGCTCACGCAGCGCTCCCCTCCCCCTACCCCTCCCCCACTCTCTCTCTCCCCCCTTGCCCCTCCCCCCCACTTTCTTACCTACATATTCAAGTTCAAGTTCATTTCAAGCTCTCTCCCACTTCAGCAATTTTACTGATAGGAACCTCCTGGTTACACCAGCCCACAGGGGATTATTGTGTCCGTCCGTCGTGCAGGGAGGGGCTGGGTGGGGAGGGGAAGGTGGGGCTGGGTGGGGAGGGGCTGGGTGGGGAGGGTGGGGCTGGGTGGGGGGTGGGAGGGGTGGGCCTGGGTGGGAAAGGGCTGGTCACCCTGTGGTGCCCTTATAAAACTCAACGTTTAACCTACTCACGCCGGCTTGTGCCCGCCCTCACAGTCGGGCATATTTGCGGAATACACCACGCCGCCGTTGACCCTGCAGGCCATTGACCGAGCAACCCAACGTTCCTACCAGCTCCCTCCGCAGGAATGTGTTTTCTTGCTGTGGTTTTCCCACCTGATGATGATTGCTTATGTTGCAATCGAAACGTCGTGATTTGTTTATTTTTAACTACGTGACTTTACCAAAAGAACCAAAGAGTATGGATTCCTGCAGTCACGAAAGCTTCAAATCGAAATTGAATGTTCATACCGGCGCAGTACCACGAGATGAAATTAAAATTTCAGGAGCCTCACAGCAAGCGTTGCGGTCGTTAAATCAAGTCAGTGTGTGGCCTCTGGAAGATCCATTAACAGTAGAGCCTGTTCTCCGTTAAGGCGTGTTGTTATAACGTGAATTGGATTTAACGTGATTAATGTATTAGGGAACACATTTTTTTAGTTATAACGTGGATGCGAATTGAATATAACGCAATTGAGTGAACGGAATTACGGTCACAGCGCGATTAGGAACGAGCGGTAGTACGGCTGCCTCGGCGTAGAATCACACAAGGCGGAATGCTGCTCGATGCTTCGAGATGCTACTCACGCACCTCAGTCTTTGTTCAGGCTACATACGCAACTCACGTGTTGTCGCGGACTATACTTCACTCAATTTTTCATATTATTTAGATTACAACGCGAATTTTACATAATGCGGTGTTCTTTAGGAACATAATTAACACGTTATAGGAGAACAGACTGTAGCTTGCAGAACTACTGGAGCTGTGAAGTCACTTCGTTAGAACTCTCGACCCAAATGAGAAAAACACATTTTAAGTACCCTTAAAAGAGTGTTTTTAAACACAAGTAAATTACACAAAATGTTTAATCCCCGAGCAGTGATCTGGTGAGATTTTTTGTGTGAAGCTGGGCTAAGAATATCAACTGGCTCTCTTTGGGAACCCAGTTTAATAAGAGGAGGCAGACACCCAGAGTCTATGCCTGTGACATGGGATTAATTAGCCCCCTTTACCAACCGGCCACCTCAACATTACTCTGCTCAAACCCACATAAGCACTCCCAGGCAGTAAACTGTATTCATAATCCTGTAAAACAAAACCTTCATATTCATAAAATTAAATTACATTCATATTTATTATTATACCAAAAGTGATTTTTGCAGTCAATGCGAACTGAAACCGAGACCATAATAAACTCACTGCACAAGAGAATCTGGATTAATAGGTGGCTTGACACCCAGATTTTAACCCAAGCTCTCAGCAGCACCGTGCTCAGTCTATGACTTGGCATTAGTCCCCTCCCAGCCACGTGGCCACCTCTATCGGTGCCGGCTTTTTGAGTTTTATCCCGACCGACTGACGCTCGGGGGCTGTGAACCGCACGAAGCGTGACAACACGGCCAGGCCCCCGGGGTTTTAGGAAGACGGTAATTTACGGAGAGGTGGCGCACGGCTGTAATCAGAATCTCCGAGGCGGGGGGGGGGGATTAGGGGACAGTCCAGAGATTTCTGTGCGTGCGAGATGTCCGAGATGTCCAACCCCTGCAGCTGCACAGTGTCTAGTCGATGGAAATACAGGAAATAGGGTCGCTGACCTAATTTAGATTGTGTGTATGGGGCCGTCCATTGGCAGGCTGCATCGCACGTGTCGGTGCACAGAAATAGGGCCATTCATACGACTGACAACCCTGGGGGCTGAGTGAAGGCGGGGTGGCTAATGAGGCCAAGGCTGGGAGGGGGGGCCCACAGTGCATTCAGTTGAAATGCGTTTCCCCTACACTAGCAAGACCGGTTAAAAACCGGCAGCAATCACAAGGTAGCGAGGGTTATATGTGGGCACGAGTGAAAGACATGGGGAGGGTGGGGGGGAACATGACCCATCCGCACAAAGGTCATCCAATTCTCAGCATTAAATCGGGCCAAGTCGGCTTAGCATCAAAAGATATGACGAGACCAGCTTCCAAAGCTTCTTGTTCATGTCTCTGGGTACGAAGTTCACAAGTTTGAACTCGCACAGACCTTCTCCCTGATAATGTGTTGACGGCGATTAAAAGCGAGGGTTATGATACTCTGTGCAGTCCGCTAACAGTATGCCGATTGAGCTATTAGTGCGATTTGTTGAGATGTGGACATTCTCAATTAAAACTCTTGGAACCAGCGGTGTACCAATCAACAGTCTCAGAAATAACTCAGCAGAAATAAGTTGTAAGTTACTTAAATTATGCCTCTTTGTCAACACCAAAAGGGCGTGCATAGCTTTCACATGCCAAATGTTTTACGATGGTTGTGCAAATCATTACTGATCTGGCTGAGACCATCAACTAACTACACTTGAGTCCAGCTTAATCACGAGTGGTTTTCTGGCTTAAAACCCAGTTTTGTG